CCTTTTTTTCATCTTAACATTTTTCTAACTGCTAACTTTATAATTAATAAAAGCTAACCAGTCTGCAAAGAAATCACCTAAGAGCTTCAACCTTTCTTTTCCGAAAATTCGTGTTATTCGTACCAATTTTTGTAGTATAGAATCTTTTCTTTTGAAACTTTCTCCCCGCATTTTAGTGCTCTGCGAAGCCAATTTAAATTCTTTTATCTCTACCAGGAACTTCTCTGTTCCAGGATATTTTATTTTTGTCGAAAGATACATATGCATAGCCTTGGTTTTTAGATCAGGAAAAATCTTCCAATGGCAAGGGAATCATCTCTTGAGTCTCCGGATAATTCTTTCATGTGCTTTCGACTTTCTTTATTGCACTCTGTTAGCTATCGGTTTTTCCTTTATCGCTTCCATACTTCTCAGGACTGTAACATGTTAGATAAAATATATGACTAGAAATGCCTCCCTTTTTCTACATTCATCTGAGACTGCCTTTGTTTTTCAGGATTTTCTATTGTATCATTCTAGAATAATTCGAATCAGAATAACCATCAGGACAATTCATTAGACCTTACTACCCATAATGCAGCACTGACCAGCATATATAAATATCCCAGCCAAAACTCGAAGTCCGAAGATTGCGTTGAAGTACGAAACATACTGTCACCGCTTGGTTTTGACCCCAGCGTCCATTATATATATATATATATATATATATATATATATATATATATATATATATATATATATGCGGATCATTTTATAAAGAATCCAACTTGTGTGATGGATTTCATTGTGAACTGGTTTTCCGTCTTGGCCAGTTCGCACTCAATTTTCCATCTTAAGGTGTTGGAGTCGCTTTACATCAGGTCTAGGCAACCTGCTCTTTGCAAACAAAGAGATTGTTTGCTTGGACTTGCTGTTCTGCGATTCTAGCAGCTTGGTTGGTATAATTTTAATATTTTTTTTCCTTCCTTCCCTGTCCATTCATTCATGTCACCCATGACAGACTTTTTCTTTTCCTCATAATCTAAATTCCCCGTTAACAGTTCTGACGAGAGGGGACGAAACCGGTCGACTGGTGTGTGTTTTATTTTAAACTTATCATGGCCTACAATACTACATTTCTAGTTTTTAATGCCTTAATACGCTTTTGTACCGTTTCAAACCTATTTAAAATATATATATATATATATATATATATATATATATATATATATATGTATATTGAAGTGTAGGAGAACGAACAGTAAGATTATAGTGTTCAAAACATTAATTTAAAAACAGTGCTCAATACACAAAGTAGAGTCGTAAATATTTATTTATCTTATGCAGTCTTACATTAGAACATGCACATATACACTACAAAATTGTACATTTTTGTTTCAACGTCAAAAAAAGGGAAAACCTCTTCAGGTAGGGAATCACGGTGTTACTAAAAGTTTTTATTCAGAAATACAGATATCGAAGCAAATACTCCCCACTACCGTTTTTTGGAAATTTTCATAAAATGTCTTCTAGAATTTACACATAGAGATGGAAGGGAATCTAATGCATTCAGTAGTCGTGGGTGGACGAAAAGGAAAGGACAAATGAAAAAAAGAGGAAGAGAAAAGAAAGAAAGAAGCTATGGGAAGAGGATGAGGTGATAAGCGCTGAGAGAAGATAAAATCTGGCTACAGAATGTAAAATTTGAATTTCGACGGTCCCCTAGTTTGGTTAGCAAGGTGTTTCAAGTAAAATAATTTGCAGCCAGATAAAATTAAAGTAATGGTAAGAATATTTGGTATCTTTTTTTTATTTTTTTTATCCTTCATATTATTTTTGGGGGATAATACATTGTCAAGGAGAAAAATAATTCGAGTAATATATTTTTTCTTTTATTTTTAGGGAGAAATAGGTGGTAAATTCCATATAAAAATAAAACTCAAAATAAGGTTAAATTAGTACTAACTTTCCATTTCAATTAACGTAAGTTGGAAAAGTGAGTCAATACTATTGTATATTGGTAGGTAGCTATTAATAGATAATAATAATAATAATAATAATAATAATAATATATATATATATATATATATATATATATATATATATATATATATATATATATATATATAATGCATTTTTCAACTGAATAAACTTCAGTTTTAGGAATTTTACCTTCTTATTTTAATGTGATATCAATTTAATCCTGCAGCAATTAGTTATAATACTCCTGTTTCGGGCTATTAATTTTATATGACTTTTCACACAGGTGGCTTTTACAGGGTGTCAACTTACAGGGTTTTTCTTTTAAGCTTCAGCTCGTTTCTAAGTGATTTTTTACAGTACTCCTTGACATTTCGCAGCTGTACAGGTAGCGTGACGTTTACCAGCAGCAATGAAAGTCAAATTCCATTCGGATCTGTTGCATTCATTTTCGCACTAATCAACATATGGGAAAGGCATGAATCTAATTCTTCTTGTCCCACCCAATAGCAAGGTAGATTGGGTCTCCTTTGGAAACCAGTCTAGTAGAAGAACGATTCTGAATTCCATTCCGTGGAGAGGGCAACGGAAAAGCACTTTTTTCGTAACAGTTCATGGTAATTAACAAATAATAAAGAAAAGAAGCACGTGGAGAGTTATAATGTCTAAGCCTTGAAAGGATATGGCTTACATGCATATTGACTTTTCATGCCAGTAGTAACTGATAGATTCCACCGCAAATTAAATGACAAAATGTATCCCCAATACTCCAGCACCCTCCTCAGTATTCCGGTTTCAATACTATCGTTGTCGAGATAATATCTAGGTTTTTCTTGATTGCTCTAGCTACGATCGGTATTACTGTCATTTTCATATTCCACAGCTTCTACTGTTCTCTGGAGAGGCGTTTTTATTATTATTATTATTATTATTATTATTATTATTATTATTATTGAATTATTATTAGGAGAATTGTTTGAAGAGTTAGTTGGTCACTATGTGCAAAATCAAATCATATGTGCAGATAAACTTGTTGTTCGGTTCTAAGCTTATACGTCGAAGACAACGGGAGAATACATTATTATTATTATTATATTTCCTTTGATTTCTTAATGTAGGTCTTTTGATTCAGTGTTATAGAACCAACGCCACAAAAAAATAACAGGAATAAAAATGGCCTGAACAGTCCGTATTCTGGTAACTTTATTCCAAAATATCTTAAAATTGTCAATTTCTTTAAGCTTGATATGACGGTCAGTGGAAACAGCTATGTCAATTTGGTTGCATTTTATGGTTTCTTTGTTGATGACGGTGATGTCTGCTGATGTTTGGATTTCTGGCTTCAAGGATGTGGTCTGTTTGAATGCTGAAATTCCACAAGATCTTCACATGGTCGTCTTCGATCGATTTGGATGATACTATTTATCGTCGACTTCAGATTATCATTATCATTCTCATTTATTGACTGTGTCTTCACTTTAATCATAACACTTATATTAGCAATTTGTATACGTAACTATCCTCATGGGTTTTAAGGGTCGAAAGGTCGATGGATTCTGGATATTTTTTCATAATGTGCACCATAAAATGTCGAAATTACAGTCGTTTCAGATATTATTATTATTATTATTTTCTTTTACACATTTTTTCCGGGTCCCGCCCAGGGACTTAAGGTTAGAAATGGCATCATGATACTTTCTTCTGACAAAAAAAAAATTAATACATAAAGCCCTTCGTAAAGTGTGGGCTGTACTTGTCAGAACAATTTTTTGTATCTCCTTGAGGCATGGACTTCCAGGAATCCCTTCAATTAGTCTACTGGAATCTTTTCCAACCATTCCTAGGGATCCAACTACAACAGGGATTGTTGATGTTCCCATATGCCACATTTTCGAGATTTCTATTTCAAGGTCCTTGTATTTCGACAGCTTTTTGAATATACATTGCAGTCAGCAGGAACTGCCATATCAATAAGGAGGCACTGTTTTTGTTTGTGGTCTTTAATAAAAATTTATTAATATTATTATTTCCTTTGATTTCTGTTGCATACAAATTTTCTTCCAAGTCTCAACCAGAGATCTAAGGTTAGAAATGGCTTCCTAACATTTTACACTGAGCATTTTTGAAAAAAAAAATTAGAACACATTTTACATAGATAAAGTTCTTCGTAATGTGCGAACTGTACTTGTGAGTACTTTTTTTTTGTATTTCATTGCGTCGGTGGTGTAATGGATATCGGCTCGGACTTGAGAAAGGTATGAATCTACCCCTTCTTCTCCCAGCTATGGGTTAAATAGCAGGACACATCAGATTCTTTAGCCTTAGTTGGCAACCAGTCAACCGCGGAAAGAAATGACAACCTACTGCAGGAAAAATCTTCTGCCTCGCCAGCCATGTTATGTTTCGTAAGATATATGATTCTCCAAGCGTGTATCACGTGTGGCGCTTGACTGACTGACTACCAATAGTCCTTTCTACCGGAACCTTTTTAACTTTTTTGGACAATTTGTGGGGGGGTTATATTTATTCCCACAAGTTCAAACTGATAGAGGGGTGAGGCGGGCGTCAAATTCCCAAGTCTATATACCGGTCAGCCGTGTGTACAGAAACGACACTTTGAATCGAGTAAATTTCTTAAAATGTGTTCTTGGTACGATCTTTTTTAGAAGGCTACAACGATAAATTATTCCGTTTCTTGTTTCGACCCACAGCTACGGCTTTGATGTTACTGTAGTTTTTCAGAAATAGACGAAAGACTAGTAGTACTAATACTACTAGTAGTAGTATTAGTAGTAGTAAACTTTGCCTTATCTTTTGTAGCTATTGTTATTGCTGCTGTAATGGTCATTAATATTGTTATTACTGAGGTTTTCTTTACTCACTGAATTTTGATCGATAGCGTCTCCATAATTGTCACTTTCTTTTCAAAGGACGAAAAACTGGAATCCAGAAACAATCAGTATTTCTGCTCTATTTCACTCGCAAAAGGAACGGAATGACTTTGTCTCAGTCAGAGTTAGAGAGCTTTTCCTCAATTCACAATGCTCTTTCTAGTCTCTACCCTCCCAGTCGTCTTCTTTTGCTTTTTCTATCTTTTCCATTTTTCTGGTGCGTCGTTTTTTCGCCTACACACGAACAGACGTACACCTATCTATCTATCTATCTATCTATCTATCTATCTATCTATCTATCTATCTCCGTCTGTTTATATCTATCTATCTATCTGTCTGTCTATCTCCGTCTGTTCATATCTATCTATCTATCTATCTATCTATCTATCTATCTATCTATCTATCTATCTATCTATCTATATCGTATGTATATATCTATCTATCTATCTATCTATCTATCTATCTATCTATCTGTCTACGTCTGTTCATATCTATCTATCTATCTATCTATCTATCTATCTATCTATCTATCTATCTATCTATCTATCTCAGTCTATTAATATCTATATATCTATCAACGCGTGCTGAAAAATTCAAGTTTGAGTGATTTCCCAAAATTAAACAAAACATCAGATGAATTTTTTTGCCAGGCTTTACAGATAAATATATATTTTTTATTGCAGCCAGGTGCACAAGAATTATAAGCAGGCCGAATTCGCTATACGAAAAATCATTAAAGACCCTATTTCTGCCTTATCCCTCCCCCCCCGCAAAAAAAAACATGTAAAACTTATATTACAGAAAATGGAAAGCCGCAAACTATGTGGTCACTAATCAAAATAATCCCATTAAACCCACTATTAGCGAAGTCCTATATTTTAAACATCTCTCTCTCTCTCTCACTCTCTCTCTCACTCTCTCTCTCTCACTCTCTCTCTCTCTCTCTCTGTATTATCACATACACAATATATATATATATATATATATATGTGTGTGTGTGTGTGTGTGAGCGTGTGTTCTGTTGTAGATTGTATCCCTGTAAATAATAAATAAAATATGTTTTATATAGATTACATTAAAATCACTGTTTCTCAGAATCATGTTATCTTTGAGTATATTTCTAGTATATTTCTAATCTCTTAGATTAAATGCCGGAATTTGGTTAATGTTGAAAGAGCATTCCTTAGAGATTAAATCTTTTATTACTCCGGCTAAGTCAATTCTATGAGAATCCAGTATCAATCACCGCCGTGCATTGTCTGGTTTACACTATCTTTCCTTGATAATTTTCATTTTTCGAGATATCTGTCCAAAGTTGATAATTTCTTTAGTAACAGAACCAATGCTAAGAATTTAAAGTTTGGATGTTTGTTACGAGAGATAAACATATTAATTTGTCTGATTATAGTTTTTCTGATAATTTGATCTTATCGCGCAGTTAGGAATTTTGTATCCACCCCACAAGAAGATCGATAGAATCTAAGCTTTTAGCAAATTTGAAGTAATGTCTTCCCAATTAGTAAACATGTGCCGACTTCCGCTTGGAATGTAAGTCATCTTAAAGTTCGTCTAAATGAGGTTGCATCATCACTTCATAAATTCGTCTATCGATTCTAAGACGTTCCTTTAGCAGCAGAATCGTTATCAGACGGACAGATTGTTAAAATTTAGGACTGATATTTATATAACCAGACCTGATAAACGGTCTGGTGTTGTGATTCTAAATAATTCTAACTATATAAATAAGATGTCGTCTATATTGGAAGAAACTTGTAAATTTCGGAAATTAGGTGATACATGATTTTGTGTCACCGCAAAAACGGAACTTAAATTTCAGAAGAGATTTTTGCTTGAATTTTTCAAAGAATGTACATCTCAAAACAAGTGTATGACAGAATTCGACCTGTTGGCTGCCAGCGTCCTAGGATGTATGGTTTACCGAAAGTTCATAAAATAAATACTACACTGTGGCCTATTTTGTCTATGGTGGACTCTGCCCAGTATGAGTTGGCCAAGTGATTGGTTGAAATTCTTCATCCTGTTTTGCACTATTAATCCGAGTACTCGTCCCAGTTTGATATACACAAATTGCAACGTACTATTGACACTGAGTGTCTTTTGATATTTGTAGTCTGTTCACTAATGTCTCTCTTGACGAGACTATTGGCATTTGTGCTATTTGTATCGTGGCCCGTTAAAGCCTCCATCTTTTCCTGATAGTGTCTTCGTCGAGCTGATGGAGATGGCTACTAAATCTCTCTCTTTCAGCTTTAATAATAACAATGTATCAACAACTTGATGGGGTAGAGATGGGTAGTCCTTTGGGACCTCTCATGGTTAAAATTTTTGTAGGGTTTTCATGAGAGGCAATTGTTTGATAAGGTCCCTAAACTATACTTCTATTTCTGTTATGTTGATGACACTTTTACATATTTTTCATTATGAGGTAGACAGGTTTTTATCAATATCTAAATAGTCTCCACTCCTCTTTACAATTTACGATGAAGTTGGAGAGCAATAATATTTTACCTTTCCTGGACAGAGATAACTCCTACTTCTTTCCTCATCAGCGTTCATAGGAAGCCCACTTTTACTGCGCTGTATATCAGTTGGGACTCGTTTGCTGTTAAGTCTAGGAAAATTAACCTCGTCAAAACACTTACTTGTCGTGCATTGATGATGCAAACAAGGAGGAGGCTTATACTTAACATCAGAAAGAGGCAACTGAAGTTTCTGGGACATATAACGAGGAAGGAGGGTCTGGAGAATCTGATACTCACGGGTCGAATAGAGGGAAAGAGGGACAAGGGAACACAACGAGTGACATACCTGGCGGACTTAAGCAAGTGGATGACAGAACCTAGTCTGGGGGAGGAAGCAGAGGGAAGGAACTTGTTGAGAGCTGCAAGGGATAGAGGGAGGTGGAGAGCCATGATCGCCTACGTCCTGAAAGGACATGCCGCGTAAAAAAAGAAGACTGGTTAGTTTCTCAAAACCTCACGATATTGAGATTGACGACGATGTCTAGTGTGAACGCCCCCTCTAAGTATGTTGTATACCGTTGTTAAGAAAGGATTATTCCTATTATCTCCTGCAAAATCAACTTCTCTACTGTTTGATGGTGATTTAAGAAATCTAGTAACAAACACCTGTCGACATTCTCTCATTTCTTTAAAGTAATAAATAACCAACCAGTCGACTGTCACTTAATTCATCTGTCATGCCCGTGTTTTTGCTCTTACCCTCGGAATTGAGGGCATGCTCTTTAGCAACGGCCGTCTTACGAGCAATCCCGGGTCTCTCCGAGCCGACTTCCTCTAGAGCCTATCTCCGCCTGTCTGTGGACCTGGTGAGCTCTCGCTTATATAGAAAACTCCCTCAACCCAATTTGACATTGATATATAAATAATTTCTCCACTCCGACCGTCTTAATCTTAGGAGGTCATGGATTTCGCTTCTCTCTTTTAGATATATTTCTGTAAAGATAATCGTGTTTGCGGGTGGACACCCTCAAAACAAACAACTCCCAAGCTTGGGAATTAGCAAAAACAGATGTTTTATTTCTTTGTCCAGAATAATTTGTAAGAACACGTACGTTTCGGACAGATAGTATAATCTTATATATAAAGTACAGTATATGTATGTGTGTTTGTTCGTGTGTATCTCCAAGCAACTTCTCCGCTCCCACTGGTCCGATTTCAATGAACCATAGCTCATTCAAAAGCCCTAGTAAAGTTAGGCGCAGAGAACGATTTTCGTTGAGCTCAGATTCAGGGTTGCCAGATTATGCGAGGTTAAAAATATATATTAATATATTATACTAGCCATTATAGTAGCTTTCATGGTTCAAGGAGAGTAACTCTGATTTTCCTTTTGGATCCAAAATCTCAGTGCACGTTCTATGATAAACTAGATTAAAAGCTGACCTGTCGGGTGGCATTTAAGCCAGCTCCTGTGGAGGACTCTTGGTTTGGCCATCATCACAATAGCTAGGGAGGAGTAGATGGCATCAATAAATTACAGAAGAACTCAAAATTGATCGCTGCATTGAAGTATTGAAATAATGTTTAAGCTTACCTTTAAAAGTTCAACAACAATTCTTCTGCTGCCAATTAATTTGAGAACGATTTGATGTACATAGATCCTTATTTTCCGTACAAACAATTATTTTTATTTTATAGATGACAGAACAGGGGACAATTCATAGGATACAATTAATATAGTGTAAAGATGGGAAAATAGAAACTAGAATTAATTATACATTCAACATTTGAAAAGTTAGGGAAACATAATACCTAAGTAATATCAATCTTATGGAATCTATATAAATAAATGCGAAATTGGAAAACAATTATCCAACGAATTCTGGCGTTAAAAAGCCCCAACTCTGTTTTATAGCAATTTATACGGTGTTTAATCGTTCCCCCACCAGAACGAGATGTAACACAAGCTCTTTTTAAAGTGGGGACCCGAGCGCGTACACCCGGGCAAGGGACAAAAATTGCCCACAGCCCCCGCAGCCATCGGTTGCGCTGGCCTCAATGCGAGCACCGATCCCTCCCTCTGGTGCAATGGGAAGGCGTGGCCTCGGGCAGCTGTTCCCCAGGGCTGGGTACCTCTTCAGTATAATTTTCTCAGTTGTGCCTCTGTCAGAGAAGACCCTGAGCGCACTCTGCGCAAAGACAGAGACGCAACTGAGAGATGATAAATAATGGGCTACAAATTACTTTATTGCAAATTTATACGGTGTTTACCCATTCTCCCACGAGAACGAGATGTGACACAAGGTCGGATTAATGTGGGGACCCGAGCGCGTACACTCGGGCAGGGACAAAAATTCTCCTCAGACCCCGCAACCGTCGGTTGCGCTGGCCTCGGTGCGAGCACCGATCCCTCCCTCTTGTGCAATGGGATGGCGCGGCCTCGGGCAGCTGTTCCCCAGGGCTGGGCACCTCTTCAGTATAATTTTCCTCAGTTGCACTTCTGTCCTCAGACAGAGACGCCCCTGAGCGCACTCTGTCCAAGGACAGAGATGCAACTGAGAGATGATAAGTAATGTATTGCAATTTTATACGGTGTATTTACTTGACCCCCCCCCCGAGACAGGTTGTGACACAAGGTCAGTTTATAACGTGGGGATCCGAGAGTTTTCACTGGTCTTAGCTGGTCATAGCCGGCCTGAGCTAAGCGCAGCCGTGATGCCACCAGCAAGGATCAGGATATGTACGCCCCTCAAGTGAGCGGCCAACACCCCGAAACCTCATCGGCTATGGTACCGTACCTGCAAGCAAGCAATTTTATACGGTAAATGCTCAATATCTGTATTATATATTATCTGCTTCTAGGTGATATCACTCTTCAGATTTATCTAATTTGCATATTGATTTTAAAAAAAATATATTTCATTAATTAACTGTCCTTCATTAGTGTTCTTTTATTCAAGTATTGTTTTGATTTTCATATAAAAAATATTTCTGTTTAGGAGTATTGTATATAGGGCAGAAAAGTGTTTGAAATTTGCATTTTACTTGGCCTTCAACAAGTTGGCATCTATTTGTAAAACTTTTCTTAACTATAACAAGCCAATTTATGAATGAAATGTTCATTTAAAATTTTTGTTCCCAATTACTGTTTCCCTGAAAGCTATAATCTCCAACTATTCAAATGTAATGTCAATCGACATCTCCAATTACCTTGATCTACCCACTATCCTTCTCCTCTTCCTTTCTCCTATCACTCTTATCTGCTCTCGCTCCAAACCCCCTGCATCCTAGTGGCTTCACGCCTTGCTTGGGGCACAATGCTTAAAAAAAAAAAAAAAAAAATATTTAAAGCAGTGAATATATCTTACTTTGATAGCAAGCGATAGCAAGCAGGCGAAACCTGCTGGTAGATAATAATAGACAGTATTTGCTATAAAATACAACTGGAGGCTTACTAATTTCTCATTTGCATGAAAAGTCGAAAAATGGCGATCTGAAATTTACTTGAAAAAGAAACAGAAATTAAGATGAAATAAAATATTTTCCCAGGCTATGTCTCCCCACAGTTTTCTCTATATATATATATATATATATATATATATATATATATATATATATATATATATATATATAAGACAAATTTTAATTATACAAATTTAAAATATAACGAGTGGGGTAAGGATATAAATAAATAGTTCCATAAGAGTATAAAATGGAAAAATGGGAACTAAGTTACCTTAGGTATGATGTCCGTTTTGTTTACGGCTATATATATATATATATATATATATATATATATATATATATAAAGGTTTTTTTATGGTTTTGTTTCAATTTTTAGAATTTTTAGCTTTTGTTTATTCTTTTGATGAAAAAGCATAAATGCATTTTCAACAAGAATTTTTCTGAATTACAAATGTCGATAGGTATGCTGTTGTAAATGTTTAGAAATACGGAACGCATCATTCAAATGAAAACTCGAGACAACGTGGTCCAACATAAATATTATTTTTTCCATTGAAGATACAATCTCCCAGAGGACATTTACATTTATGTACAATGTTGGTTTTCTGCAACACATTAGTTGCTGAGGAAGTGACGTTAAGAATGATTGAATTAGATATTCTAGATTTAGTGTAATATATAATTAATCTTATTTTTTTAATAAGTTCTGTGGTGGAAATATTAATATTTATTTATTTATTTAGGATATTTTCGTCTTATTTATAATTAGGATGTATTTGGTTGCGATAAAATTTCATGAACTGCCATAATATCTTAGGAAAAGACAGGGGGAGTGATTTCCCGTTATTCTCCTGACGGTTTGGAATTCCCAATTGTCTTTCGCCTAAGCCACCCAAGACTAGAGAGCGCAGTCTACCCTGTAGAGCTGGCGGAAGAAGAGCTGGTTTCATGCCTTTTCGAATAGCATTATCGATAAAGAAACACAACTGACTAGGCTGGAGCTTGAACTCGGCTCGTCGATTAAATGCCCTGCGCCAATAACCCTTACACAGCCCGCATATTCTTGAAAGAATATCAATAATTAACTAATGATTTTATAAGATCCTTGCAAGTTCTACGATGATAAAATAACAGTGAAAATTCCTCAGTTGCGTCGTTAAATATTTCAACCTAATAGCTTTAGAAAAATATTGCAATAACAGTCGTAAGTATTAATTCAGGTCATTATTTTAAAGAGTAAGAGAGTACAAATGAAGTTTCAAAAAAGTTTTTCTATTTCACTGAAGCAGACGTTAAACATATGATAGCATCATCTCCTCCTTTAGCTTCCCTTTTTATTTCCTTCTTTATTTCCTTCTTTCTTTCTTTCCTTTTTTTTCTTTCTTATTATACAAGCTGTCCCATAATGATGGGACGCATTTTAAATGCAAGAATCTTGGATTATAAAAATGACATAAAATACCAAATTTATTTATTACATAATTGATATACAAAAATTCAACATTTTATTTAAGATAAAATATTCAAGTTTTGGATAATATGTTGAGCTCTTATACATCAGTTATGTCAATAAATGTATTTGTTATATACAAGACAATTGCATTTAAAATGTGTCCCGCCATTATGCGTTATCTTGTATATGCTTTCTTTTTCCCACTAACACTAAACAGCATCACTGATATATCTTTTTCTTCGGTCTCTCCGCTCAATCAAAGCGGAATGGTCCATTACTTATCTGAGGCAATGACAGCGCGTAACGCACATGCTAACTAATAACAAGCAGCGTTATATGATAATAGGCGAAGTTTTTCTTCTACATGCCGTACTTTTGACCATGGCCTTCTACAACTTCCTATTTTACGTAGCTCTTACAAATGTTTGCCATTTTAACATCCCTCCCATTTCCAGCTATGTCATCCATTCCCACAAACTGTTTCAACGCTCTCCTTTTTTTGCTCCGATAAGTCCCTTGAGTCTCATTTTTTCTAACCCCTACTTCCTTATGTGTCCCATAAATCCCAACTGTCTTTCCAATATAAGTATAAACAGTTTTTTTATTCCGTTTTCGTTATTGCTGGCACACATCGTCCATGGTATTCTCGCAATCTTCTTTAGAAGAACACTTCTGTTGACTGAAGGAAATTGTCATACAAGCACTCTCATTTTAATTGATTGATTAATTAAAAAAAAGTCATATTAAAAATAACTCCATCTTTAACCTCAGAAATCAAGACACACTTTGACACAGATTTGCTTTTACAGCCATAGAAAACACAACTCGCAGGTGTTTAATGTCATTCTCGATGCAAACACGCAAGTCTTAACTGATCTACAACCGTTACTAACCCCTGCAAATATATGTATAAGTAGCTGCCGCCAATGTCACTGCTCGACGTCCTGAAATTTAATTGTGTCATTGGAACTTTAGGGATGTTGAATCGCAAACAGAGATCTTAACAATTACGAATGGCATAAATGGACGAGAGAAAGAAGTGACTGAAAACGAATAGGCGGACGTGTTTGGAGGGCAATGTTGTGGTGTGATGGGGGCAGGAAAGAGAGCCAACACAGTAGAACGTAAGATCGGCGCATATGTGTCTAGGCAAGTTCAACCAGCAGGCATCACACCACTAGGGGACTATTCAAGCATCAATGCATGGCATCTCTATAATTTGTTCAGTGGAGCTTAACCTCTGACCCCAACTCTCTCATTCTCTCTCTGTCTCTCTCGTTCTATTACATGCTCACATGCCGACGCATACACACCGTGTGTTCTGCTATAGCTCAAAGGTGCCTTAGATTTTAGTCTGTTTTTGTACTGTTATTTTTATTGATATAATTCCTTCTCTTCCTTCTTTTTCTCTTCTGTTTTCCCACATATTATTATCATTATCATTATTATTATTATCATTATTATTATTATCATTATTATTATTATTTCCTTTGATTTCTGTTGTACACACTTCTTTCAGGGTCCCAACCAGAGACCTAAGTACAGAAATGGCATCATATCATTTTCCACAAAACATTTTAAAAAAAAAAACTTATGATCACACACATTTTATATCAATAAAGCTCTTCGTAATGTATGAAATTATTATTATTATTATTATTATTATTATTTGTTGTTGTTGTTGTTGTCGTTGACTTTTGTGGTCAGAGTTTCTCTCAAGTCCCAACCAGAGACAACAAGTTTTTATCTCTGACGATGCAAACAGATGAGAGAGAAAAATGTAATTGTGGTCACTGCATGTCCATTCAAATTTCAAAAAGTACCAACAAGTATGATTTTTTATTTTATTTATTATTTATTTAATTTATTTTAATTTTTTTTTTTTTGCAATTTATTTATTTAAGTTTAAATTTATTTTATTTTAAATCTACAAGAATATTGTCCTATATTTGTTTGCACCTTTTGACATCATTCTCAAAGTCCCAATAACAAGAGTTAATAAGGCTGTCTTCAGATGCCATATTCTACTGATTTCTATCTCCAGGTCCTTGCATTGACTCAGTTTCTCAAACGTTTTAAAAGATTTGTTGTTGTCTACTGGAAATTCAGCATTTATCAGAAGACACGTGTTTTTAACAGGATTATTCGCTATTATGTCTGGTCGATTTGCCTGGATTTCCCTATCAATCTGAACACTGAAATTCTAGAGGATGATAACCTCTTCATCTTGTACAACTAGTAGTGGCTTATGTTTCCCGCAATTCTCTTTCCAAGGGAGATTGAATGCGCGATATATTGACCAGTGGATGTACCTGAACAGTGCAATTAAGCAGTTGAAAGCACGCTTTTCGCGCCAGATGGCCATAACCAGATATTGTTGTTAATAAATTATTACTTATAGTAGTAGTAGTATTAGTAGTAGTAGTAGTAGTAATAGTAGTAGTAGTAGTAGTAGTAGTAGCAAATGTATGGGTCTTCTTTTCTACCATTCAATATTCTGTAATTCTTCGCCGTTTCTCTTTCTCTCCCTCTTCTTCCACATTCACCACATACGTCTCTGGGTTTTCCTCCCTACTTCTTTTTTTTTTTCTTCTTCTTCTTCTTCTTCTTCTTATTATTATTATTATTATTATTATTATTATTATTATTATTATTATTTATTACTAGTAGTAGTAGTAGTATTCATTTCCATCATCATCTTCCTTAGTCTCCTTCTTCATCACCGTACTCTTCTTCATTTTCTCCCTCCTCCTACTCCTACTCCTCCTCCTTCTTCTTATTATTATTATCATTATTATTATTATTGTTATTATTATTATTCGTCTTCTTCTTCTTCATCTTTTTTCTTCTTTTACCTCTTCTTCATTTTCTTCTATCGACTTCTTATTATTCATCTTACTTCATCATCACCCTCATATTCTTCTTCTTATTATTATTATTATTCTTCCTCCGCTTTCTTCTCCTCCTTCTGCCATCTCCTCTAACCCACCCACTCAATTTATTTGGCCTCCTATAATATTTATGCCATTTATCTTCGTCTTTTTTACTTCTTTTCCGCCATTCATCCGATTAGAAACTATTTTTCGTCGACCTCTTTCTATTGCATTTCTTCACTCTCTTTCTTTCTAACTCTATCCCTCTTTCTCTCTCTCTCTCTCTCTCTCTCTCACACACACACACACACACACCTTCTGCGTATCTATCTTCTTTGTCTGTTCTTCTTTTATACTTGTTCGTCATGCTTTTCTTTCTCCAGACTTCAGCAGTTTTTAACGTATCATTCCATTCTTTTCAATCAAATTCTTCTTCTTGTCCTTCTTCTTCCTACTCGGATTTCTTCTCATCTGCCGAGACGCTACGATCTTTACAGCCCACCTGCTTGCCCGAAATGACGCGCTGGGTCGTGTCAAATCTAACTCCACAAAACACCAAACAAAACAGAATAAACTCCCCACCTATCGTTAACCACCCAATAATCTACAATAATTCAAAGCCCTTTTCATCTTTTTTTTTTTTTTTATTTCTTCCTTCTCCGCTTTTCTGTCTTATTTTCTTCTCACGTTCTTTCTCGTTTTCTTTTTTTCCTTCCTCTTTATTTTGTTATTTTTCTTTCTTTTCCCTTTCTTTTTCTTTTTCTTTTCTTCATCATCTTTTTTTATTTCATTCTTTTTTATTATTTCCCTTGTTTTTCTTTTCCTTTTTCTTTTCTTTTGCTTCTTTTTCCGTCTTTTTCCTTATTTTCTCCTTCTCCGTCTTCCACGTATTCTCCTCTATTTCATTCTTTATCCACTTCATCATTCTTCTTTTTTTCTTTCCCTTTTTTCTTATTCTTCATCACCTCTTAATTTTTCTTTTTTTTTTCTTTCTTTTTCTACTTTTCTCTTCTCTCTCCTCTTCCCTATTCTATTTCTTTCCCTTTTTCATATTGGTTCGTTCACCTCATGTCTTTTCACTTATATTTTCTCCATTTTATTTCTTTTTATTATCCCTGTTTTTCGCATACGTTTGTAACTCTAAATTCAACATTTTCTCCACCATTTATTTCAGCCTCCCCTGTTTCATTTTACACTTCAGACTTTTAATGATGACACGCAGGATTTTGCTAATAATTATCCAATAAATGGAGGTTAGATGGGTGCAGTGTTTTTCTGTGAAATCTTAGGACGACCCAGATTTGAAGAACCTTTTAATGTTTCTCCTCAAGTAAAATATTTATCTTCCCAGACAAGAGATGAAAACGGTGACAATATTTCCATTAATATCTGCTAGTAGTACAGGGGAAATTCCATGGGTTTTCCTATATGAATTTCTTCATTAATCATTATTTTTAAGTTAATGATTGAATAATCACCTGGCGACTTCCACGACTACAAAATACGCGTGGAAATTCCTCTCTTGAAATTTTGAGGTTTAACAACTTTGACGAAATATTGCAGTATCATCAGAATGAATGTAGGTTGTAATCGAAAGAAGTAAGAGGGTACAAATGAAAAGATTTAAAACTGACAAGCTTTTTCGTTTTACTGCACGATGGAGTAATGGACAGCGGCTCGAACTGAGGAATCGGAGAGCCGAGTTCGATTTCCAGTCGAATCCATTATATTCACTTACGTGCTAATACAATTTGGAAAGGTATGAATCATCGTTTTCTTCCCCCCCCCCAGCTATTGGTAAATACAGGACAGACCTGGTTTTATATCCTTGGATACAAACTGGCCTACCGCAGAAAGAAATGGCAACCTACTGCGGGAAAAATCTGCCTCTTCAGTCATGTATGGAAAGGTACGTGATCGCCTAAGCGTGTATTACGCATGGCACATAACTGACTGAAGCAGACGTTAAAGACCAGAGCTTTATTGCACGTTTCTCTTCTGTATTTCTTTCTTTTTCAATGAAACTAAACATCGTCTTTACTGTGTCCTTTCTATCATTTCCGAGGTAATCTCTTTTGCTAACTAAGGAAAGAAGAAACCAAAAGAACTATAATTATATTCCATCAGCTTTGAATCTAAATAAAATGAGAATAAGTTCAACAAATATAAGAGATGTGTCAGAAAACAATATATTTTGCAGAATTTATTCTTAAATAAATACTCAAAACAGAAAGGAATTCAATATGTCAGCCATCAGCTTCACGGTCCCTATGCGGCTGTTGAAACACATGTGTTGATCAAGTGTCCTTTATTCATGTTGGCTATGACCTCTCCGATAACAGCCATCAACATGTTCCGCCAGACATTTCTGAGTATTGTCGGCTTGTTAAGAGGGAATTGAGCCTTGCCGGCTGAGTGAGAGGAAACAAAGTCTAGCCGGCTGGTTGCAAAGTAACATAATGCCGGTTGGGTGAAAGTGAACTGAGTCTTGCCAGCTGGTTGCAAGGGAACAGAGTCTTACCGTCTGGTTGAGAGGGGACAGTGTCTTTCCAGTTGTGTTAGAGTCAACAAACTCTTGCTGGAGAGGGAACAGAATCATGCCTGTCGGGTGAAAAGTAACAGCAACTTGCCGGCTGTGTGAGAGAGAACTGAGTTTTGCCAATTTAGTGAGAATGACGTGAGCTGGGGGAGAAGGAACCCAGTCATATCATGAGTGATACGGAACAGAGTCTTGCCGGTTAAGTGAGAGGTCTTGCTTGTTGGGTGTGTCTGAACAGTCTCACTGGCTAGATGAGAGGGGATAGAATCTTGCCAGCTGGGTGAGAAAAAAAAGAATCTTTACCTAAGGGTGAGTTGAAACAGTCTTGCCTGATGGGTGAGGATGAACTTAGCCTTTCAGGCTGAGTGAGAAGAAACACAGGGCTGACAGGTGGGTGAAGTGGAATAGAGTCTTGCCGGCTGGGTGAGAAGGAACAGAGTATTTCCGACTGGGTGAGAAGGAACACTGTCTTGCCAGCCGAGAAGAAATATAGTCTCGCAAGCTGGGTGAGAAAAGACAATGTCTTGTCGGCTGGGTGAGAATGAAGAGATTCTTGCCGGTTTGGTGAAAGGGAACACAATCTTGCTGGGTGGGTGACCGTTACACCTCCGGCCGAAATTTGAGCACCGCTCGATTCAACGTTCGAGACTGATAACAATTACACTACCCACGTATCTTATAATGGATACAGTAGGTAAAAAATGTTTTAATTGTTTTAATTTTGTTATAAACAAAGAAAAGAGCGTTGCATTGCAATTTGAATTCCATTCTCTTATACTGCAGTGAATGCTGAACAATCACCCCACGGGTTAGGAGAAAACTGGAGGCATTAGAAATGTAGTTTTACAGATTGTTTAAACCATTTTCTACGGATTATCAACCCTTTGCCTGTTATTTAAAGCCAGAAAATATTTTACATTATAAGAATTTTTTTAATAATTATGGGTTAATGATGTAAGTCTTACTAATTAACCCATAGATGGGGAAAGAAGCGTTCGATTCATAACTAATCAGAAATTATAATGTGGATATAAAGTGAGGGGGTCAATTCTACATTAAAATGATATATAAACTGTTCCCTCACTTTGTAGCCGCAATAGTTTCTATACATTTATATTCCAGAGAATGTAAATAAATCTACAATCAATGTCTGTGTAGCTAATCAGGATTTGATTGACGGACATTTGCAGGTTATTTTAAGCCAGAAAATATTTTTAGATTATAATTTTTTTAGATAATAATGATTTAGAGATACAAGTCTTACTAATTGGGAAGAGAAGTGGTGGGTGCATACTTTTCCTAATGGTCTTTGCTCGTAAGTGAATATAACGAACCCAACTGGAATTGGAACTCCCTGATTAACACTTCAGAGCAATTATTCATTACCCTACCCGCACGCTTACCTGGTATTACCTATCGGTCACTCTTCTAGGTACTGACTAGGCTTAACTTTGCTTAACTTCAGTGATCATGCAGGAACCGGCTTTTCAGCGCTATATGGCCGTAAACGTGTTCTACAGATGATACTGATAACTAGATGGACTGAGTAACTTAGGAACTTGTCCTCAGAATCAGGAAGAGTCAGCTAGAATTTCGTGGACACATAATGAGGAAAGAAGGCTTGGAAAATTTAACCCTCACCGGGTATACAAGAGAGATCGGGAAGGGCAGTGGTCCACCTACCTGACGAGCTTGTGTGTTCGGATAGCAAAATGGGAAAAGTAGAATAACTGTTGTTGAGAGCCACGATCGGCCATGTCCTGAAGAGAATGTGACCCATAGAATGAGAAGAAATTATGAATTATTCTCGTGGCTTGCGACTGGCGAGGTGGTGGCTATCGCCGCTGATATTGAAATCGGTGTGAAGGGGTCAAATTCTGGCCGTTCACTTCGCACGAGTACCCTTAGAAAAGGCATGAATTCAAATATATAGGCGAAATAGCAGGGCAGATTGGGCTCTCTTGCGTCAGGTGGCGGTTAGTCTCAGAGAAAAGGAAATGTCTAAACGTTTTTATTAATAGGGGTAACTCGGCAATCGCAAAGCTCAAGATATACCCAGAGGTCCAACGTCCCCAATTATCCGTAAGGTTCTAAATTCACAGCTTTCATTTTCTTCTGGACTGACTACCATCTGAAGCGAGCGAACCCAATATACCCTATTATTTTGCCTATGAAATGGATTCATGCCTTTTCCAATGGCATCTCTACGAAATGAACTTGGTAGTCTTGAACAACAAATATGAATTCAAAATCTGTCACATTTTCTCTATGCTACGTAGACTTTATAAATTTAAGCGCAGTACTAGATTGGCGGAAAGGTCTCATCATTTAAAACTGGAAGTGACTAATAAGTTCTATGTTAACAGTTTCCTTTATCACACTTCTCGACTGTGGAACTCTCTTCCCGTTTCTTGCTTCCTAGTCGATTTTGATCTTTAAAAATATAAATGTAATGTCAATCGTTATCTTCTATCTTTTTAGTTCTTCTTCTTTTATTGTTCTTTCTCCTCATTAATGTTTTTTTCTGATATTCTTTAATTAGAATCAACTTCTAAGTTTGTAGCTAAAACGTTAGTTCACTGTGTGGCGCTAGACAATCTTTCTCGCAAGAATCTATCTTGTATATTTGTAAGTCTACTATTTGCCTTTGCTTTGAATATTGCTGGCACATCTGGTCTTGATAAAATATAAAGAAGAATCTGCAATTTTATTTGTACTGACCTGGCCTCTCGGCTTCAGTCACATTCCCACCGCCGTAACGTAGCATCCTTGTGCCTTTTCTATAAATACTTTCATGGTAATTGTTCTGATCAACTTTCCTCTATGCTACCTAGATTACAAGAATTAAAGCAAAGTACTAAATTGGCGGTACGGTTTCATCAATATCATTGTTTAATTAACTTGATGTAAGTTCTATGCTAACATCTTTTCAAACACTTCTCGTTTGTGGAACTCTCTTTTAGTTCCATGCTTTCCGGCC